ACATGCTCCAATCTATTCGTGGGGAGCAACACGTGCTGGGAACCGCGCCTAGCGTCCCATTCAAGATCGCATTGAAAAAATGAGAAGTTTATGGAGACATCCTTGAGGTATCGGGGCCATTACCCGGCTTCGGCTAGGAAAGACAACTGTGTCATCTACACCAGGAAAATTTAGAAAAACTTTGATAATTGCTGGCCTATTGCTAGTCTACTGAATGCTTACAACCCTTGGACTCCTTAACAAAACCCTCTAAAATTCTCTAACACTGTCTTATTCCTTGGCGAGCTCTCCCAGACCTCATGCCTCTACATTGCTAGGTTACAGGGCAACACGACTCACCCCAGCTCAGGCCAGCATCGTCCCTACAACAACCCTTGGTTTTCCCTTAGAATGCCCGCTCCAAGGCATCCCCAGATCTCTCTACCAGGCCTCACACTCCTGCTATCAACAGGTTACAGGGCAACCCCCCAACACCGGCCAACGTCGTTCTGGCATCGGAAACCGCAGATCCATGAATATAACTGCATCAAAGAAACCTAAAGTGAGTTGTAAGAAGTACCCAGAATCCTAAAGCATGTTCAAAACCATTCAAACGAACAATTCACCCTCATTCCTCCAGCCCCCTACTCTTCTTCATCCCCCGACGAGCCGACCTCCTCCACCACATAGTTCGCGGGATGAGAACAGCAGCCGCACCCAGACAATGGACACCTTCCTCAACTATTCCTCATCTCACGACGAGCCGACCTCCTCCACCCATAATTCACAAGACGAGGAACAACAGAAATCAGGTGAACTCGCCAATCCTTACCCTTACTCAATAAGCGTAGCACTACACTTCATCAGCAACCATCAGAAACCATCCTCCTTCTTCCCTTCAACCCCCTACTCTTCATCATCTTCCGACGAACCGACCTCCTCCACCACATAGTTCGGAAGATAAAAACAGTAGACAAACAACCTAACCGAATCCCAGACTTCAACTATTCATCTTCCTTCGACGAGCCGACCTCCTCCACCACATAGTTCGAAGAAGAAGAATAGAAGTAGTACCAAAATAACCTTTGAATGAGTTTAACGAGCCAACGACAATCAAACGAACCATCCTCCCTCTTCCCTCCACCCCCCTACTCTTCTTCATCCCACGACGAGCCGACCTTCTCCACCACATAGTTCGCGGGATGAGAAACAACAGCCACAACCACACAACGGACACCTTCCTCAACACATTCCTCCTCTCACGACGAGCCGACCTCCTCCACCCATAGTTCGTAAGAGGAGGAAGGCAGAAATCAGGTGAACACCCTCAAGGCCCCTCACCCTAATAAACGCAGCACCAACCCCACTAACCTCTTACCTCACTCTGGCAAGACTTATAACAGCTAAGCCACCATCTCAGCTGCGGCTATGCCCGAATCCAATCCCACTAGCTAGCCCTCCTCACCAGCAGGACGCAATTCCACCAGCCATAAACCATCCCCCCCAACCCAAGTACCACACATCCTCAAAACACTTGGCCTGCAAAAAGAAATGGGTACCCAATCGAACAATTCTCAAGACACGAAATAGAAAACTTATGTTTACCAAACAGCCTGAGACTTCAATTGTGACCTATTTTTGAAATCCCTCAAACAAATTCAAGGAATAAGAGCCCAAGCTTGAGCGTACTAATATAGGGGAATACATCGGATTTAGAATTGGATCAGAGTTGAATAAATGTAAGACATCAATCCCACTTTGAGAAAATCTTTTGTAAATCAATCTTGGTAATCTTTCATTAGAATCGAAGCGAAGCTGTGTTTTACGAATTTCAGATTAGGAATCTTGCACAGAAAATACGAATTTCAGATTAGAAATCCTACTAAAAAAAAAAATTGAGATCGACCAATTACATGAATCGTTGAGAGACAATCAAGTTTTGGTTAAAATTTTGTCAAAACGAAAAATCAAGTAGATCGTGTTTTAAGAGTATCTGATACACACTGCACACAAACTGCGACCATGGTGCCATAAGTGTGGAATATATGGGCACCTGAGCACAGATTACGGTTGCCCTCTGCACCCACAAAAAAGAGAGCGAACGACCGGAAGACTGCTGAGAGACCCACTCAAGAAGTCATACTGGGGAGCGGTCGATCCGGGGCACGAAGGGTGGGTATTTGTGGAGGACTGCACAAAAGAAGGGCATCCAGTGGGATGGATTTGGGAGAGGAAAGGGGAACCAGAATGGGAGACACGGCCCCCAGATACGTGGGTTCCCCCGGCTCCGGTGGAGGAAAAAGTCCAGCAGATTCAACCGAACCCTCTGAGAGAGAAACCCAAGGGAACAGACGGGAGGAAAGGGGGGAAACAAAGGGGGAAGGGGACTTGGGTTCAAAAACAGCAACCCGGACCGGGGCAGGAAGAGAAGGAGAAGGAGGAGGAAGGGGAAGGAAAAATGGTCTCGCGAGTGCTCCCGGGCCCGACAGTGGCATCATACATCCCCGGGGAAGACAAGGGGACAGGTGAAACAAGCGGCAGGGGCGGGGTGACGGAGCAACAGGGGGAGGGAAATGGGGCGGGACAGGGACCGAGG